ACGTGTGCTCAACAGATCTAGATATTGTCGTTAATTTATTAGATGTTGTTATAAACAAATGGATAATGCAAGAGATTTAGAACTTATTCTATTTAATTTATTAGTGTTAAATAACAATTATAAAAAAAAAATGGATCACCGATATCTTTAGCCAATTGTTAAATAATGGATTTTAAACAATTGCAATAGTTTAGATCGATTTCTAAGTCCTAATTAACAATTGTTGCACAGATATTATATATCGTAGATATCATCGTTAACTTATTAAATATTGCGTTATAAACAAATGGATAGTGTGAGAGGTTTAGAACTTATTTCGTTTCACAAGAAATGATAATATTAACATTAGGTATGATACTAGACAAAATATTTATATTATGTTTTTAGCTTTATGCAAATAGTCTTTAACATGTATGTATCTCTTGCAAAGTAGTGCAAGTGATTCAATTTGCTATTAGATTATTTCTAAACTCAGCAAACATCAAGTAACATGTAATGTACTTGTTAGTTGTAATTTCCCAATATAACTATAATATAATTATAATTTAACACATGTGTTGTCTTAGTTATATTGTTAAATGTTATTTGGTGTTCGCTAGAAGTATTTCTTATATTTAAATCATACCAAAAAATTTTAAATTAATTTTGTATTATAATTAAAGAAAAAATATGATAAAGAAAAAGGAATCATAAAATAAAATTAATTCGATAAAAAAATCAACATAAATGGCGATTAAAGGATAAAGTAAAAGTTGTGTGTATGCATGTCGCGTAAAATATACATATACCATGGTATACACAACAGGTAAAATCATTATGTACCTACCATACTACAGAACACAATTATCATTCGTATTACTATTATGAGTTTTCATACAAAATTGTTTTCATTACAACACACGTACGTGTAACTCACACACGTAAGATCTTGGAACAGTTACAGCACACGCGCGCGCACGCACGCACGCGCGCAGGATGGATATTAACAAAGTAATATAAAAGATTTTAAGGGATGATTTCGCATATAAATTCAAAACGAAAACTTCATATAACTATGTGTCCGAAATAGCTTAATTTCAAAGATACAGATAAAAATTGAAGAAAAAATTTCACTTTTTCCGAAATTATTTTGATAAAACATGAAACATATAAAACTCCATCAAAATAATCCAAGGTTTTTGAAATTTTTGGAAACACACACACACACACACACACGCCACGCACACGCACACAAAATTAAAGGATAACACATCATGTGATTCTCTCACAAGTTTCTTCTCACACTTTTTCATAATTTACTTTTTTGGAATAAAATGAGATGTAAATATTATTTATTATTTTAGATTATATCCTTAAAATAATATTAACAAACTAATAATCAAAATACATGCTTCATAAATTAAAAATAGTCTACGAAAATTAGTCAAACATTTTACAATTCCTTTTAAAAAATAATCAAATATTTGAATTGTATAAATAAACAGAAAAAGGGAAATTTAAATTTAATTTTGAGGCAATTATCTTAAAGTTGAAACAGCAATCTTAAATTATGTAAGATTTATCGAAATATTCTAAATCAAAACATTAATAAAAAACGTAGCTCACCATCTGTGATATCAGAATATTAGTTAAAGGAAAATCACAAATTTTCGATTGGGATCAGATTGAAATTTTAGAGAACCAAACTTTATGGGTGAAAAGAAGCATATCAGAGATGATACACATGCATATTAAAAAAACAAACAAGAGACCTTAACAAACAAAGTGATACGAAGTTGTTACCAGACGCATATCTGTCTCGATTTCCTCTCTCTGAAAAGAAAAATCACCTCTAATCTTACCCTTCCCCCTCCCGCATAACAATAACGAAAGAACGAGGATTCCCTGATTCTCACATCTATTCCCAGTTCCCACTATCAAGAAGGAATACATAAATGTCAAATTAAACAAATTAACTAAACAACGATCAGCATGGCATATTAGCTATTTTTTTAAATCTCTGACACATAAGTTTAATTATTTTTAATTGTATCATTATACGTTTAACAAATTTGACTTATGTTGGTATTAATTTTATAATTTATATATCATAATTTATTAATCAATGTATATATAAATAGGTGTCAATTTATATATAAATTGTTTAATAAATTATTATATATAAATTATAAAATTAATACCAACATAAGTTTTGGTAACATATCCAGTAGTTTATTGTTAATTAATTTATTAATTATTTATTTATTGTAATTTTATTTATTTTTAAATATTAAAAAATTATACGTATAGATTATTATTTAATTTTATTATACAGGCAAATATGCAATAATTATTTGACGTATTATTGGTAATATCTCCATAGACAAAAAATCTATGTAAGTTTAAAGCGTGTACAACGGAGAGTAAAAAAGTATACAATACAAAAAAAACGACAAATTAATAATAGCAAAATAATAACAAACAACTACATAGCGTTCAGACTGTGACTTCAAGCATGTAACAGAATGTAATAATTTGTATATGTAACACTAAAGATGACGTACGTAAAAAGGTCGAAACGTATGTATTAGAAGCAATTGTATAAGAAGTACCTAATGTAGTTATAATACATTGTATAATCGCAATTAACAACCAGTATGGCTCAATAGCTCACTTTCTGTTCACTATTAAATTTTATTCATATGTCTAACTTAGAGTCCTAACTTACGATATATTAAAATCTAAATCAAAATCTAAATCATACTTTAAGTATGCATTTGCATATATATACGTATATATTATTTTAAAGAAAAGCTGAATAGAAGAAAAAGTACTTTCTAATAAAGAACAGTTTCGTTTTATACTACCTTAGTGAACTGTTATAACTTGACATAATAAGGTAGATAACGGAATGTAAACAGCGCAATTGCGCATTGTCTACACAATGTTGATACTAATGATACTCGACTTGCGCTGCATGAATACTCTGAAACTTGTCTTTTATCTTTATCTATGAAAAAAATAATTGGATCCGTAATACTGTTCTTTTTCCAGTTTCTCAAGCGTGGTTAGAATTAATCGCTGTTTATAGACTCAGTGGTTTTACCTATCGTAATACGCAATTATGGAAAGCAGCCAATATAAAATGTACAACCAATTAAAACTGAACTAAATATTTTAAACACTTGACAAATATAGTAACTTACAAAATTGATTAAATGATTTAAAGATTTCGAAAAACTGTACAAAAATATATTATTTTAAAAGTACAATATTTTTTATATATTTTGTTGTATATCCTTGTAAAAAATTGCTTTATATATATATTTCTTTTTCTTTCTATATATATATATATATATATATATATATATAGGTATATATACACCTATATATATATATATATATCTTTTTCTTTATATATTTCTTTTCATTTCTTTCTTTTTTCTTATAATAGTAATAAAATTTGAAAATTTTTTAAAGCTTTTGATTAATTTTATAATTGTATTGAATTAACCAAAACATTTTCAAATTAAATTTTTTCTTTGCACGTACACGCATATTAGAATTGCAATAGCAATGGTTAAATGAAGATGTAGCAATAATTAGCACTACATCATTAGCATTAACGTTATATTTTCTGTGTAATGGAAGAATTGATTTTCAAAATATGTAACATAGCTATACCTACGCCTGTATAGCAATACGGATAATCATTTAAAAAGTCATGCATGTAAGGCATGTAAGCATTACGTACATCGTATGCTGGAACAGTATCCTTGTCATGTACAACGGGCGATTTGTTTCTAGGTATTATTAAAGCCATTTTTTAACGGAATATTTCTCTCTTTCTTTCTCTCAGTTTTTTTTCTCCTTTGTCTGGTCGTCGTCAGTAATCCACACATGTATGCAATTTTCTCCGTCGTTTTTAACACATATGTAGTAATTTCACGTTTCTCGCATGCAAAGCAAACTTTTCGGTCACCAAGTATTCTGTAATGATCACATATCCCGATCGGTAGTTTCCGAGCTTCCTTACCAGTTTCGATAAAGCTTCATTATTAGCTGCCACAATTACCTGCATTTTTGCACACGTAATACTTTGAATTCCAACTTTTTTCTTGCATTAGTTTATCAAATTCCGGAAGGCATATTTTATATATAATAACTTAACCTCTGAAATATTAGAGACGTATATAAATATATTTCAGAAAGCAGTTTGTAGATAAATTTTAAATTTCCATTATATATTATGTTGTTTATATTATAATACATTATTCGTTTTCTTTTACATGAAAGATTTGTAATAATTCAAATCCTTATAATCTTTATTTTAATGTTTTCACGATGCAATATAATAAGTATATGTTTCCAAATATTAAATTACTAAACTGTTTTTGTAAAGAACAATTACAACAAGTCCAAGTTTTGAAATAATAAGCATCATTAGATATATAGTAAAAATTATGAAAAAATATCTGTAATTAAAGTTTGTGTGTGTGTGTGTGTTTGTGTGTGTAATTGTAAATCTAACATTAAGATTAAATTTTATGTAACTTGACCGAATCTGATTTCTATTGATCATACATTACAATATATTAATTTATTAATGTATTATTTTTGTTCATAACATTAATGCATTATAAATTAATAATAATATTAAATTAACTCACATTTAATTTTGATTTCAATATTTGTTCTATCTACTAATTCGGAAATAACTAATAGCAATAACATTTTGGTTTGTGTCGTTATTTTCAGCGTAGAAAATATAATAAGAAAATCATTTTTATATCGCATTATCTCTCGTTATTTAAAAATATTAGAAAATCTTTTAATATGACAGATAATATGACAGATAATAAAATATTGCCTATATTTTTATAAGACATACCTTTTCATGATAAAATTTTAAAAGATACGCGTTCTAGATTCACAATTTATCGCAAAAATTCTCAAATATCAATGCTCCATGATCGTGCATATGCGCATTAAATATATACATTTCGAAGGCCAACAAATAAAAATATGCAAAAGAAAAAATATGACCCGAAAAGTTATATATTTTTCGTACTTCTTTATAGAATCATGTGCAATGTTTATATGACAATAATTCCTTTTAATTTATATTATATATATACAGATATACAAATAATATCTTTCTTTTTAAGATTTCTAAAAACATACAAAACTTGCTATTTATTTGAGAAAAAGTTCTTTGCAAAATAGCAAATGTAATGTATAAATGATAGTATTATAATATTCATATATTTTCGTTAGTATCATTCGAAAACAACAATTTATTGTTATTCGCTTTTACGCGCGAAAATATGAAATTTATCCATAACAAGCGTTCACATTTATATAAACAGATTCATTTTAAAATTTTAAAAACGTCTGAAAGAACACTTATTAATCTTTTCCTGGTTATTCTTCGGTCTAAATTTAAGAAAATTTGCGAAAAATATTTAATTCCTTACTGTATGCATCGATAAACTTATAACTTTCACGTGCAGCCCTGATATTTTTCAGCATTTGCGAATATTCATCTGTTATTGTCAAATTAAAATTCTATTAGCCCAACATTTTTAATGCGTTTTAAATTTTAAATACATTATCAATCACCGTCCGTTTTTCATGCATTTTCTATCTTTAAAAAAAAAAAGAGATCACTGTGACACTTATTATCAACACAATTTTAAATACGTTGTGCTGTACAGTGAAATTTCTACATCTATACCACCAAAAGAACGAGAGAAACAAAATAGAAAACGACGAATAAGAGTGACGACGGACGTCCAACTCTGTACTGAGATATACCAACGGTTCTGCTGCCGTTCAACTATGGCCCCACTCACTCTCACGTCTGTAGCTTACCTCTACCTGCCTTACTACTGCACTTTTTTTCATATTACGTGTGTGTGCTCCATACCTCTTTAGTGTATATAATACGACGCGCGTATGTATGCGAGCGCGTTCGCGTATGTATAGTGAGAGAATGCTCATATCGTGTCTCACTAGACTTATCAGAATCGGCTTAAAGTTTTGTGCGCACAAAATTGATCATAAGATTTGGCTTATATCGAAACATTACATGGTCTTCCCACTTGTCCCAATCTCAATCGCTGAAGGTCATTAAATATAAAACATCGCCACCTACATACGTCCGAATTTCATCGTCATGAAATAGCGAACGTTGTCTGAACAAACTTTGAAGTATCTATTCTTAGAGGCTCAAAAACAACAGGCAATTTAACACTTCATCGACAAGACGCATAAAACTATACTTTATATGGACATAACGTTACCGACGAGACGCGTAGTTTCCCTTTTATATACAGCACGTTTGTTAAAACAAATATATGGAGTAAAAAAATTACGAATTATTATTTATATTTATTAATATGTGAAACTCCTTTGAAATAAATTTTTCGAAAGTTTATAATTATATATTTCAAAATATTAAAATAAAAATTTTATAAAAACGTTTTTAGTTATTTAGTTATAGATTTGCCCACAGATTAAAACGCATTAGCTCCTGTCGGCAAAGTATTAATTATTGCAAAATATGCGCATAATTGATTATTAGATAATTCTAAATATGATCTTATTATATTATCATATTATTATAATTAAAATGTTATTATTGTGTATCGTATTTGACGAATAAAAATTTCAAAAGTAAATATATTATGTATGTCTTTATAAAAAACATTATTTTCATATGCAAATAAAAATAATAATATCTCATTATAAATGTTTCATTATAAAGAGCAAAAATTTTGTGGAAATTTTTTTAGTTCAATTTTGTGAAGATCTTAGAACATTTAAAAACCTATTGTTTAACGACAGCATTTTTAACGTTAAATAAATTATATTAAATATTATTCTCTCTTATATACAATTAAACATAGAGAAGAAAGTAAAATTTTGAAAGCGAAAACGTAATTTTCTCCAGGATGTATCACACATCCGCTTTGCACGGTTCACGAATTACAAACATCAAATGAGATAATAATGATATACGAAAGTCTCATAAAGCATAAAAATTAATCAACAAAAAATTCATTAAAGTTCAACGAAATTTGAAATATTCGTAAATAAAATTATCAAGTTCAATAAAAAGAAAACACAAGAACGATAATTTGAAGACAAGAGGTAATCGTTTTCTATAGTTTTTCAAATACAAAATATGCTTCCGTTTACTATATTACTCTACGTTACAATTTTCAAAAATTAATATGTTAATATATATGTGTGCATGTACATATATATATATATGTACATGCATGTATATATATATATATATATATGTACATACATGGTTTATTCCACGTGAAGCGGATCAGTCATCTCTCAGAAATTTTTTTAAATTTTGCAAATAGATAGTACTCTGGGAGATAGAATTTTGTGCCAAAGGATTTTTTTATTGCAAAATTAATCGAGATATAAACAATTAAAAATTAGACTACTTTATTCTTCAAGATCGGAAGAGCACAC